GCTGAAGTGACAAATTGTTCCTGATACAGAGGAAAACCTGGGGAAACTGGGATCTGGAGCACCAAAGTGCCAATACAGTATATCACAAGGTTTACAACCACACTAAAGGTTGTTCCATGAGGACACACGCACCAGGACAAAAATTATGTGACATTAAATTGATCTCTAAAAACTGAAACCAGTTTCTGATTTAGTTCAGCAGTGTAGTTGTGCCTTTATGGGGAAAATTCACCCTGTGAATATTTTTCTTTCTCTCTCTTTCTACATGATAATAAACCTGACTTATGCTGCAAGGAAAAATGATAACCTGGGCTTTGAACATTTCATTGTGTATATGTGTGCACCCCATTCCTTTTATCATATCACTGAGGAGTAGGTTAGGGTGCTTTTCCTGAATAGGAGCTGAGGCAGGTGGTGAGCTGTGTTTCGGAGGACATTTTATTTGGCGAGGTATTTTCTCTTATTCTTGACTCTAATCTGATAAATAGGAAAGCCAAATAGCATTGCATACACCTAGAAGGCAGGAAAGTTTTAGGCGTAGGATCAGACTTCTCCTGTTTTTAATTCACTGACCCATCAGCCGAGAAGGAGAGTGTAGGATCTGTTGCACTTGTAACACCTGTGGCATGTTTATTTTCTTGCCAATGACATGCTTGGATAGAAATGCTCTAAATGTTAGTTGGTGGTCCTCTTGGAAGACAAGATCCGGCAGCTGGAGGTCTGTGTTCTAATCTCCACACTGCTAGGAAGCATACCGGGTAGGTGTGGCTCGTCAGCCTTGTAAGGCAGCCCATCTAGGAGAAGGAAAACTTTGACTTCAAACCTCCACTGCCTTGTGGCTCTATCCACTGATGGAAAAGGCTTCATGAGTTAACCTCAAGGCAAAATCCGGAGCCAGAGTCCTGGAGGCAGTTCATGTCGTTTTGGCAACTCATGCGACATTGCTAGAACCAGTTGTATTGGCTCTGGTCTTTCCATTGGACTTTTTCAGTGACATGGAGAGGGGGGATTTGTTGCTTGGGTAACAGCCTATCCTCCATATTATTTTACCCAGGCTTCGTGTCCTGGAGAGGACACTGAAGCTTCACATACAGCATTGAAACAACATGTGAAGTAGCAGTTACCAGTTATAACTCTTTGCTCGAGTGGCGTAGATCATGATGCCAGGGGCTACGTCCGACGGTGGGAGAGGTCATTGCACCTCACTAGGTAGCTACCACCTGCCTTAAGCTGGGCAGTCCCCAGCCAGTAAGGTGCTACCTCACCATGGTCTGTTAACCTCATGGGTGCATAGAGTTTAGGGTGAAATTCAACCAACAAGAAGATCGATAACCCTGCACCATGCAACAATCATAAGATGGTGTTGGCTTTGCAGTCAGAAATACTCTGCTGAGATCCATTGTTTCACCTACTGCGGGAAGTGAAAGAATCCTGTCTCTGCAGCTCCACTCATCAGCAGAACCAGTCACCCTCATTAGTGCATATGCACCGACACTGTCGTCCACAAAGTAAGTCAAAGCAGTTAACACTGCTAATTGGGAAAAAATGCACGCATGCACACACATGAGGGAGGGATTTTTAAACAACAAAAACAAGGAAGAGAAAGTATAAATCTTCTGCCCTGAATTAGGGCTCTGCAAGCTTATTCAAGAACAGACATGAGCAACTTTGACTGGTTTGGGGCCTATTGTTCTACCCCACTACCTGCTTCAGACTGGAAGGAAGGAAGGAAGGAGATGGGAGAGTTAGATGTGCCTCCACATCTACTTATATATATATTTTGTTGGGGGTTTATGCATTCTCCCAACCCCCTCAAAACAAAACAGCTGTGTCCAGAGGCCAGCAGGAGTAATAGCTTTCCTCCTTTTCTAGTCTATTTTTTTTAATGTTGCACCGGAGAGTATTGTAAGCCACATGTGGCTTGTAGACCACAGTCCCTGCTCTAAAGCAAGAGCGAAATGAGCGAAACAAGTACAGTCAAGTGCTAAATGCAGTACCTACGGTACTTTGATCCTGCTATCAAGTGACTTACTTGCCTACTTAGTCTGGAGCCTGAATGCTGCTGATGGGCAATGTTCAGACCCCTACAGATTATTTTTTTTGTCTGTGGTTCTTTACCTTCAAAGCCAGCTTGGGAGGGGACAGTTCTTCAGACAGAGGACTATGTTCTGTAAAATAGGACACTATTTGCCCACTCTACTTATACCCCTTTGTGAAGAAAAATACCTTTTCTGCTTGCATAGTGCATTCAAAATCAAATCCATGTGAAAGAGGAATAAATCAAAATACAATCTATTATGCCTTTTGTATGGCATGTAGTCAAAATATCAATGTCTGGCACAATGGGATCTCACACAACTGCCCTTTTCTTGCTCCTGGCTAGCATTCTGTTGTCCTCTCAGTTATTTTCCATTCAAACACTTTTGTTTTTTGAAAGTGATGAGAATTAAGGCCACTGATGCAGAAAGAAATGTCCACTGAGACACACCCTCTGCCTGAGAAAAGCAAAGAATTCTGGATTTAAACGCACATGTGCCTACAGTTGCCCATCTTCAGGCTCAAAATGCTAAGTTATATGGGAGCTCCACCCATTGAAAATATTTGCCAGGTAATTCCCTTGGGAAGGGCCTTGTTAGCACCAGTATAAAAACAACTGCAGAATGTTTAGAAAACAGCTATTGACTTCCTCTACATAAGGACTGAAGCTATTGGGGGCAACCATGTCTACTAAGGATGTTAAAACCTTTGCTCAACAAGCACAGGGCACTGTGCAAGATGCGGGTAAGATTCTTTCTTTTTCTTTTTTTGATTTGACTCTTCTTGTCAAGATAAGAAATTTTGTATGTAAAGAGTGTTAAAAATTTGGGGGGGGGGGGTTATGGAAGCAGCAGCCCTGAAAATGAAAGTACTGTACTTTTAAAATAGAAGCTTGAACTACAGTTTACTATAGTCATTTCGAAACTAGTGGCTAACTCCAGTCAAACAAGATCACTCTAACATAACAATTCTGATAGCTGAAGATATGTTGCAAATAATGACCACACATGAATAAGGCATGCATGTTTTATAATGTGCATTATTTAAAATTAGAATAGTCTGACTTTCCAAGTTTCTGGGGCTGTAGATTTTGTGTGTGTGTGTGTGTGTTACTGGTCTTTGTTCCTTCAGGCTCTGCACAGTTTTCAGTATAACAATGATGTGATAGTCAAAATGCAGACTGCCAGATTCTAAGTTATGAGCCCTTTGCATTTTAGAAGGTACAATGATAAATTCAAACTGGTTTGGCTGGGAGAGCATTTAGAATAATTTTGTGTGTGTTCTTCATATGCTTAGAGTCTAAGAAATCCTTTTATATATGTTATTGATTTGGAGAAATATGTGGTTCAGGTATTTGGCTATGGAGCCAGAGGTTGGGATTTCAGTTCCTCACTGTGCCTCCTTAACAAGAGCTGTACTTGATGATCTATAGGGTCCCTTTTTGAAGTATTTTTGTTCTTATGAAACATAGAAGCAATGTAGGAATTAAAACTGGGAGAATTAGACAAGCTGGTGTTGCCTGGAATTAGTGCAACAGTGAAATAAATATACAGTACCTTAGTTCTCAGATGAGATTTGATATGCTTGTCGATGATCGTTTGGTTTCATTCTGTAATTAACCCCCTTTTAAAAGGATAAATGCCTCTGATTTTTCCCTAGAGGTCTGTAAAGGGCTCTTAGGGACATGTTCATTCACCAGAATCCTTGACCTGATATTCTAGCAATGGCTTATCTGTAATGCCACAGCCCTCAGTCCCATGTGTCCAGTTAACAAAATCAGAAAGTTGAGCAAATCCTTGCCGTGCCATCATGTGTAGCTGATAGTGTGTTCTGCTGTCTTCTTTTCTCATCATTGCTTTACTATCCTTCTGACTTATCAACCTGTGTTTCATGATTTCAGCAAACAGCTTGGGAAAGGCTGCACAGCAAGGTGTGAACCAAGTGACAGACGCGGGTCAGAAAGGTATGAGGTTGGGAGGGAAAAGCTAATGTAACACAGCAGTTGGTCTATTTGGTTTGTTCATGCTTGCACGTAGCCTTTGGTATATAAGAGGCATGTGTGTAGGTCATGGCTTTGTGACAGAGCATATACTTTGTGTGCATAAAACTGCACAAACTTTTAAGAAGCTGCTCACAATTTGTTATTTTTTAAACATAAAACAGGCCTTAGAAATACTACAATTCAGAAAAACTGATTGAGGTAGTCTGAGAGTTTTAGACCAAAAAAACAGCAGTTAAAAAAAATGTACTTCCCAAGCTCCAAGAAAGTTCTGTGCTGGAGACTCCATAAACCCACTATAAATTCTAGGAACTATCGCCCAAAAGGGGAATTTTTCCAACCTCTGGGTAAACCATATGTTAGAGACCCTGTAGATCCATAGTGGTCTGATTCCACAGACTAGACTGATAGGTTAGAAAGACCATGAAACTAATTTTGTGTAGTAGTGGTTGTTACATGCCATCAAGTTGGAACTCACTTACAGTGACCCTAACAGGGCTTTCAAGGCAAGTGAGATATTTAATGAGTGGTTCTGCCAGTTCCACACCCCCAGTGAATTTCCATGGCTGAGTGGAGATTCAAACCCAGGTCTCCTGAGTTTTAGTCCATCACTTTATCCAGTAGTAGGTTTGGGATGCTTGATCACAAAAGGTATTTTTGTATTTTGAGTAGACCAGATAGGTGGGGAATGAATGAATGAATGAATGAATGAATGAATGAATGAATGAATAAATAAATAAATAATAAATAAATTCCTCTGCCCAACCTTCCAAAGCATCTTCCATAAAACAGAAAAATAGAAGCAGGTTTTTAGTATTCTTATGGCCTCTGGAGTCTTTCTGTTTTACATTGCCGTGTTCAACCTCTTTTCAGAACCATGTTCTTCAGGACAATAACTAGCAAAGTACCCACTGTTAGCTAGAATGCATGCAAAAAGAGGGATCTCTACATAGCAAAACCCTAAATAATCCTCCTCCACTTGAGCTGAGGAGAGGCAGACAGAATGTAAAAGAACTGCCACCTAAGGTCTCCACAATGAGGAAATACGGTAGATGGAGATTAATCTTCTTGTGTAGTTACGTAAATGGTGTAACTTTTGGGGTCAAGCTTCCCCAATTTAAGAAAACCACCATAAACATTAAGCGTACTGATAGTATCTGCAGTGATTTCTTATCTTGGGGCAATTTGACTTCAAAAATTATTCCATTTTTACTACGTTATGGTAACAAGGGAAAAGCATTTTGGGGGACAAATGATGTCATAAGCCCAAATGTGTGTATTACAACCCCACAGTGCTTACATTCTGGGGAATGGAACTGAAGGAGTGGAAATATTGAGAGTGAAGAAGCTGTGTGTGTGTGTACACACTCATGCATGCATTATGTGTTGCTACTGGGATAGGTGGCTACCCTATTTCTATCCTGTAATTGTTGCTGCTGCCTTTATTACTTCTTGGACTGTGAGATCTCATTATGCAGAAAAAGATTTGTAACCATTTAAAATATAGATGTCATTGATTTATACCAGTGGTTCCTAAACTTCAGTGACACACAGACTGACATTGCAAGAGACTTTTGAGTTTGCAATGGTGTTCTCCTCATCTCTGCCATTATCACTCTAAAGCAGGGGTTCGCAAAAATTGGTCCCCAGGAGTTCTTGGACTAAGACACCCAGAAGTCTTTGCCACTAGCTGTGCTGGCTAGGATTTGGGGGAGTTTTAGTCCCAGAACACCTGGGGATCCAAGGTTGAGGACCACTGCCCTAAGGGTGCAGGCATATGTGTATGGAAGAGTCAAGGAAGCATTGCCAGAAAGAACAGCCCAGTTCCTGAATCTTGATCAGCTGGAAAAGAGATGGTGGCTATAAGATACCTGGAGCCAACATTACATGACCTGTCCTATAAAATGGTTGTTGTGGGTTTTTTGGGCTCTTTGGACGTGTTCTGAAGGTTGATCTTCCTAACGTTTCACCAGTGCTGTCCTCTGAAGATGTCGGCCACAGAGACTGGAGAAACATTAGGAAGAACAACCTTCAGAACATGGCCAAAGAGCCCGAAAAGCCCACAACAACCATTAGATCCTGGCCATGAAAGCCTTCGCGAATACATTGAATGTCCTATAAAAGTTGCAAGCATTCATTGTAGGAGCTAATCAAAGGCAAGCACACGCTCATATAGAGAGGGCATATGTATGAAATAGCAACATGTACTACAAATTATTTCTTCAGTGATAATCCAGAAAGAAAATATGCTGCAGGTATACAAAGTCTGGAAAACACTGGTTTATAACAGTCTTCTTCACTTTTTTTTAAAACAGTGGTGGATCAGACGTGCAAAGTAGTGAAAGAGGGCATTGATAAAGCAACTGAACAAGCAGGGAACACAGTATCCGGTCTTGAGAAGAAACTTGGACTGAAGAAATGATGGCTATTTAAAACACCAGAACCATTCTTCAATCTATGTGTTCCTTTTTTTGTACCTATCATATGTATCTTTGTAGAAAATGTGGGAGATGTTCTCCTTCCATTTCTGTTTTGATCACATGCATTCCAAAGAGAAAAGCAAAATGATTGTACAGCAGCCTTCAGAAGGAGCTCTCCTCTCATGATCTGGATGACCAAATTGTGTATTAACAGCTGCATTATTTGGGGAGGGGGGCTTGACCAGTTGCAGCTGGGGGTGGGCAGTAGCTTTCTGCATACTCCAGTCTTTTATATAATGCTAATGGTAATAACAAATGTCTAAACCCACCCCAAACAATATTTTTATCTTCTTTCCCATTCTCTCCTCATCTTGCACATACAAATGACACACTGAAGTACTGTAAAAGGATTAAACAAGGAGGGGACAGTAACGATATCCAAAATTCACTATTAGGTCCCTCACTAAAGTGCAAATTATGCCATGACTTAAGTACTTGGTGATCATTACAGTGGTTCTATGCAAGACCAGCCTGTGCTATGCCATGTCTGCTCATGATTAAAGCTCAAAACTTTAGACGTTTTGTTGTTTGAACAGTTTTATTTTGCTGATTATCCAAAGACTAGTGTTGAATCTGCAGCACTGTTATGTCACATACATATGCTATGGGAGTGTTTCCAGTCTGGATCATTACAAAGCTGCAGAGGTTGTTAAGAAAGGTGCAAGACACTGGATTGTTCATCCTCTGTCTGCCAAACAGGCTCAGCCAACAGAAGAACCACCACAACAGCCATAATGCACAAATGTTAATGCCAGAATACTATCGAGGCTATCTTAGCTTATACATCTTTCCTTGCTGTTGATTTGAGTTTGGCAAAATAAAAGATATAAATAAAAATCTGGATTATACAGATTGTTAGAAATTCAGTTGGTACAAAACTACTCTGCATTTCTTTCCTTGGGATTTGGCAGTTGCTTCTGAGGACTGTATAATGTCTACTATCGATGAATGACTGAGGACGTGGAGACCTAGCATCACATGGAAACTCGGAATATCAATATGAGCTTAGAAATCCCCAGGTCAATTTTTCCTTCCACTCAAACAGAAACCCTAACAATTGACCCATATACATCATAGTTGCAGTTTCTTCTTCTGGCCACAGAGTGGAGTAGAAGAATGTCTCATACTAGCAGGCTTTTCCTTTCAGTGTTTTCTTCCTGAAACATTGGGGTGTGTGTGTGGGGGGGAGGAACAGTTCACTTAAGAATACAAATGAAGGCATTTATTTATGTATTTATTATTGGATTTTTATCCCACCCTTATCCCGTCAGTATATACCCTTTCAAAGAGAACTGTTGGCTATTGCCATGGGCACCATTGACACTCCTTAGAGATACACCCTTTCTTCTATGCTGGTAACAGCAATAAGCAAGCAGTAGCTCTCAGGAGAGTAGATTTGTTCCCAGCGTTCTGTTTACAAAAAGAAATGAAACATCATCCAAGAGAGGATAAAAGATGGTATTTGTTACATGTTGTCAAGTCAGAAATAACTGACCCTAATAGGGTTTTTTGAGGTGAGGGTTGGTTTCCCCAGTTCCAACCTTCTGTGAGTTTCCATAGCAGATCCAAGGAATTGAACCCAGGTCTCCCGAGTCCAAGTCCACTGCTCGATGCACAACACCACAATGAAAAGAGCGTATAGATTGGCATGAATGTCATAGGCATTGGGGCATGTTGATCAATAATTGCTGCAATTTAAATAGAAATGCAATGCATTACATTAGGGATGGACTTGGTAGCATCTCCACTTCCCAGCTCCATGCCTTAGTAAAGACATGCTGATTGGTTCCCATTGCACCCAATCTCCGGTGGCAGTATTTGTGCATGTCTAGATGTCAGTGGAAAAAACTCAGTTCCTGCAAATGGGTAAAACGTAACCAGGTATCCTCTCCAGTGGAGACTATGCAGCACCCTTGGGAGAAGGAAAGACAGATTCCTGCATGCTAATTCTGACCTAGCCCATGGAAGAGGAGTGCTGCCGTTTATCCAAAGTCACACATACTATCTCTGGTTTGGGGTCTTCCCTAGTAGTTGAGTGTGTGGAGTATCGAAATGAGATCTCTGGCTGCAGTCTCCATTTGAATTGATGATTTTACCAAGGTATAGAATGTTCTTCTCTAATCTTCCCTGTAGTCATTTTAAGCCCCTGTTGCTTTCTGAAATTCCTCCATATGCTCCAGCAGTGAACATGCATTTGCAATATGATCTTGAGTGCCTCATATTTCTCTGATTCTAGTTTGAACATCTGGCACTTCTATATATTACAGTATATGGTAAAAGTCTTTGTAATAGAATCTTGGCTCCATAGGGAGCCAATATAACGGTCATGCGGTAAGTGCACTCCTTGCTCTTTCCTTTCTTTGAGTTTGGAAAGTATATTAGTCATTTTCAGCCTATGAGCTTGTGGGACCGGTCCCACTCTCCCTACTGGAGAGAGCAGGCTCTCCACCTCCCTGTGAGTAAGGGCGAGATTCTCAACCCACAGTTCACCTGTGGAATGGGGCAGTGATGTGGACAATGCCCTGGAGGCCACATGGATGGACATGGAGGGCTGGGGATTAAAGGAGGAGAATGAGGGGGAAGAGAAGGACACCTGGGCAGACACCATCGACTGGGAGGCTTTTGAGGTCCAGGAAGTGCCAGTGCAGCCAAAGGAGGAGAGTGAGGGGGAAGAGAAGGACAGCTGGGCAGACACCATCGATTGGGAGGCTTTCGAGGTCCAGGAAGTGCCAGTGCAGCCCAAGCACTCCATGGCCGGTGGAGACACAATTCACCACTAGGACTCTTGACACTGGGTGTTGAGAGGAGTTCTTTGTGCTGCCAGAGGAAGCAGCCTAAGTATGCCAAGATGAGACAATGAGAGGTGAGGTGACTTACGTAAGAACCACTACAGAACACACCACTGTCAGAGGAAGCAGCAGAAGCTGCTCTGCTGCCAAGCCCCTGAGGGCAGCACTTCCAGTGCCAGTTGGCTAGTCCTCCTCTGCCTATCCACCCTCTTCCTGCACCTCGCTATGCAGACAAGCCCAGTCATGTCTACATGGACTTTGGCCATGCCTCCAAGCAAGAGTACTATACATATGGGACAACTGATGCTAGCGGTGAGTATCAAGGATTATCCAGGGAAGAAGCCATGGCTGCTCTACTCCAAGGATGGTTGAGTGCCTGTATTCAGCACCCTTGTTGCAGCTTAGTGTACCTGAGGCGTGTCCTGGAGCTGGTAGAGGAGGTGGGCTTCTGCTGCTCCCAGCAATAAGGATTCTTTTGGAGTGATCCAGTTAACCTGAACTTTTAGAAGTGCGGTTAACTCCCTGGTGCCCATAAAACCATGTTAGTTGTTGAGCCATGTTGGTTCTGTTTTTCTGATGTTGCTACAATAAAAAGACCTATTTCTGATAACAGCTCTGGCATCTTCATGGAGGGAAGTGTGTGAAAGCCGCTCACAGAGCCATTGTTTTGTTTTCCATATTTGTTGGCATATATTTCTGAGCATTTTGATAGATTCTTTCTTTGCAGCTTGAAAGAGCTCCATTTATACTCCTGTTGATTTATTTCTTCCAGCTGCTTCGACTTTCATATTGCTTTCTAAAATTGCTGAATCTTCATTACAGGATTCTTCTTCACAGGAATCTATCATCCTTAAACCTCACCCCTATACAGTCATGTGAAAAAGAAAGTAGACCACATATCAGGACATAATAAAAATCATCTGGTCCTTAACAGGTCTGAAAATTATGTAACCTCAGAAGAACAACAACAGATGATGTGTTACACTGTCACATGATTTATTTTACAAAAATAAAGCCAGAATGGAAAAGCTATGTGTGAAAAGCTAAGTATATACTTACTGCTTCCATAGGAATTAAAGAACTAAGTAGCAGCCAGATGCTGCTAACCAAATGCTCTTGAGTAATTGGTCATCAGCAAGTATGACTACCTCTATAAAAGCCAAAATTGTAGCAGTTTGGTGGTCTGAACCTTTCAGGTGTGTGTTAATACAATGCCAAGGAGGAAACACATCAGCAGTGACCGTAGAGAAGCAATTGTTTCTACCCATCAATCTGGGAAGGGTTAGAAGGCCATTTCCCAACAATGTAAAGTCCACCATCCTACAGTGAGGAAGATTACTGAAGACTACTGCCAATCTTCCCAGAAGTGGATGTCCAAGCAAATTCACCTCAAGGTCAGATCATATAATGCTCAGAGAAATTGAAAAAAAAAAAGAGTTCAATCTCAGACTCTACAGTTAGCCTGTTAAATATTAAAGTTCATGACAATATAATTTTTAAAAAGACTGAACAAGTATCAAAAGAGTTCAATCTCAGACTCTACAGTTAGTCTGTTAAATGTTAAAGTTCATGACAATATAATTTTAAAAAAGACTGAACAAGTATCGTTTGTTTGGAACGATTGCCAGAAGAAAGCCTCTTCCCTCTAAAAAGAACATGGCAGTATATCCTCTTCCCTCTAAAAAGAACATGGCAGTAGAGTTTAGGTTTCAAAAGTTGCATCTGGACAAGCCACAAGACTTTTGGAACAATGTCCTTTGGACAAACAAGACCAAATTGGTGATATTTGACCATAATGCACCGTGCCACATTTGGTGAAAACTAAACACAGTATATCAACACAAACACCTCATACCAACTGTTAAGCACAGTGGTGGAGGGGTGATGATTTGGGCTTCTTTTCTAGCCACAGGACCAGGGCGTCTTGAGTCAACCATTAATTCCTCTGTAAATCAAAGTATTCTAGAGTCCAATGTGAGGCCATCTGTCTGACAGCTAAAGCTTGGTTGAAATTGGGTCATGCAAGAGGACAACGATCCCAAACACACCAGCAACTCTACAACAGAATGGCTGAAAAAGAAAAAGAATCAATGTTTTGCAATGGCCCAGTCAAAGTCCAGAGCTCAGCCTGACTGAAATTCTGTGGCGGGAACTTAAGAGAGCTGTACATGAACAGATGTCCACCAACCTCAATGAACTGTAGCAATGTTGTAAAGAAGGGTGGGCTGAAATTCCTGCACAATTATGCGAGAGACTGGTAAAATCATGCAGAAAACAATTACTTCAAGTTATTGCTGCTAAAGGTGGTTTTACAAGCTATTGAATCATAAGGTGTACTTAGTTTTTCACACAGGGCTTCTCCATTTTGGTTTTATTTTTGTTAAATAAAGAATGACACAGTGTAATGTGCCATTCGTTGCTGTTCATCTGAGGTTTCATTTACCTAATTTTCAGACGTTTTAAGGACTGGATGATTTTTATTATGTCCTGATATGTAAAACCGCAGAATTAAAAGGTATACTTTTTTTTTCACATGACTGTAGTTCTTTGCCGTATTGTTTTCTTTTTTTATTTTTTTTTCTGATTGAATAATATATTTCCCTTTTGATTTTTAGTATCTTTAATCTTGGTTTAAATTTTTCTTTGATGTTGTGGATTTTGTATGAGATTTCTGCTTTGCTCTTCTTTAGACCGAAAGGATAGTATTTTGCATTCTTCCCTGATAATA